ATGGAGATGAAGGTCTCCTGTGAAAGAAATCGATGGAGATGGGTATTAGGTTTAGGGTATATTTGTCAAATATGTCTTGTTCCACTTAGTTCCAGGGGGGTGAGAGTGAACAGGCTTGTCCCACACGTGTTCCACTTAGTTCCACTTAGAAACACACCAAACATGGGACAAGTGTCCTGTCCTGTCCTGTCCCACCCTGTTCCACGTACTAAACGCACCCTTAAAGAATAAGACTCAAAGCAAAATTGCATATAATAATTTGATAAATGGAATTCAAATGGCGTCTACATGAACAAAAAGGAACTACAAAACGTAGACAAATGGATACAAATCATAGTTCGTTACGAAACAAAAACATGACAATTTAGAGCACTAGACATGGTTATCCTCTACCCTTGGCTATCAAGGTCCAACCATTAATAGAAATTAGGCAAAGCTAGAATGTAGAATGAAGTATAAAACAGGCACAATTTCAAGATACATCCATTTAATCATAAAAATTGGACCAATATACAAACTACATACAACCTCTTGGCCTAAACCTTGACTTCCAAACAATGTAGCTTTGATTTTTCTTCTACAACTACCATCCTCATTTCAGATATGATGAAAATATCTGAATCGAATATGAGCAAAACTAAAACTAAATTTGAATATAAACAGATTTGAACACATTTAAATGAAATTTTGGAGAACAATTCGAAAACAAAGTATCAAAAATGATGAATAACAGAGATCTAGAAATTGAGATGAAATAAATTGGATTCAATGAGATGAAATTGGTAGATTCAATGATTTGATTGTGTATAATCAATCTGCTCTCTTACCAATTTTGGGTTCCTAGATTTCTCAATTTAGTGATTTGAAATGGATTTTAATGGCGGAAGCAGAATCACAGTCAATTTATCAATATAATAAACATAGTAAAGATCTCACCAAAACTTCTGGTCATATGTATATTGATTTTAAATCTTTGATGAATTACACTTGAGAAGTAATATTGAGAGTACAAATAATTCACAACTTACGCATCACAGTTCTATCGAGAGTTTTTCAAAAAGTTAAAAAAACAGAAGATATGAATATGTTATTTATAGTCCTAGAAAAGTAAAGTCAACACTTCATCCAATAAGAAACTTCCACGTGTAAAGTCTCCTCACCCCCTCCATGTCACACTTTCCACTCTCATCAAAGGCGTTCACAAAATGTCTTCTATGTACATGCCCAAACCACCTTAATTTACCCTCTCTCAATTTATCTGTGATCGGTGCAACCCTTGGTTTCGATCTAAAAACTTTGTTCGGAATGAATAAATCCCATCTAGCATGGTCCGACCACACATCCATCTCAACATCCTGATTTCCGCCAACTTCTATTTTCCTCACTTGTGCCCTCTTTACAGCCTAACAGTCAGAACCGTACGATATAGTTGATCTTATAATTACCTTATACAATTTTCCCATCAGTTTTAGAGGAACCCTCTTATCACACAACACTCATGTAGCTGCTCTCTGTTTAAAAAGAAGCGTCCCCCACGAAAGTAAAAAGGAACCAAAGATTATCGATTCTTAAACAACCTACATTCTCCACACTTAATCAGAGAGACTGAAGCAGGTTGAGAGCCAGATAGGCTAACAAGCGAGTATAGTTGCTTCAAGGATGCCTTTATGCACTAGCTCCCTATGAGTCACTAAGCCTATATACTTCAAATATTTGTTTTGGCTACCCTTTGGTTCCTAATGTGTAGTTTTATGCCCTCATAATTGCATCCCTTGTTAAAACTACACCATAGGTATTATATCTTAGACCAACTAAGGCACATACCTAATGACCTAAAGCTCCCCTCCACCATTGTAATTTAGTTCTCACCTCACCCTTAGACTCTGCTATGAGTGAAATATCATTAGCGAATAACATACACCATGGAATACTATCCTAAATGTCCAGTGTAAACTCATCTAAAATCACGACAAAGAGGGAAGGGCTTAGTGTCGATCCCTGAAAATTGCAGCCAAATGAAAAAAAAATGTAAATCACATTTGGTATTCGAGAGCCCGCCTAGAACTACCAAGGTATTCTGTCTTAGATCGTCTAATGCACCACCTAATGACTCTAAAGCTCCTCTCCACCATTCTAACTTAGTGTTTAACTCACCCTTACACTTTGCTATGAGTGCAATATTATGTACGGACAATATACACCATGGAACATATGCTAAATATCTTGCATAATCTCATCTAAGAATCATGGCAAATAGGAAAGGGCATAGTGTCGATCCCTGAAGATTGCAACCAAATGAAGCAAATGTAAATCACTTTTTCATTCAAGATCCTTCCTAGAACAACTTATTTATTCAAATAAAGACTATTTTGTCTAACTAATTCATTCTTTCGCCTACTACAATAGCATTCGGTAATTGGTGGCTTATCATACTCCTCCTTAAGTTTGATGGGCGGGGCCCTACTGCTATAAGTTCAGATACATGAAACTTTTGGTGGATCTTAGTGCCTTTTGGAAATTAGACTTGGTAAACCACCTTCCCTATTGTATATATCACCTAAATGGGTCCATAATAAAGTGGGGCTACTTTCACATTATATTTAGAGGCAAATGTTGTTTGTGTATAGGGTTGCATATTTAATATCATCTATTGGTAAATAAGTAAAAGGAATCATGTTCTATAGATTGGAGGAAGTATGAATTAGCAGCATGAAAACAAATCTAAAGCTTAAGAACAAACACAAGCTCATACACGTGTAACGACGAAATGTTAGATACCAAAGAAAATGGATAGCGATGGGAAAGAGGACAATTTATCTAAACCTAGGGTGTTTTAGCACTACCTTCGCTATTGTAGCCTATAATACGACTAGAAGTGAACATCTGGACTTAGTTAAACCAAACAAAACCAAAGGTACACAACTTATCCCACTCAAAGGTAGAGTATTTGGGGGGATGCATGCAGACATATCCTCTACCCCAAAAAGTAGCGATGTTCCCATGAAGATCTTCAGCTTGCAAAAAAATGTTTTAACCTGGCTGAAAGTTTCAAGAGCTTGCCAAAAATATACTAACTTAACTAGTAGATTAAAAATCATAACTTTAAGCCAAGCCACATTGAAGAATCAATTTGGTTTGAAATGAACATTTTGATAATACTTTAAAACCAATTTAACGAAATCAGCGGTAACAGTTAGATGTTTCTCCTTCAAGATCCCCGACTTGTACAAAGTTCACGAAAAAAATGGAGGGAAAGCTTGCTAAAAAAGTCGAGGAAATAGAAAAACATAGAACATAAAAAAAGCAACTTGAAAACAAGGCAGATATGTTATATTTTGAAAACCGATTTAGAAGTAAGAATCACCAAATAAACAAAAGCAAGTACAAGAAGACATAATGAAGGTAAGAATAACTGCACACCCTTAAGGGTTATTTACCAAACTCTTAGAGGGTAAGTGCTTACTGGCAAGAGTCGCCACTCTTACTTAACTTATTAGGTAACATTTTTGGCCATTAAAATGGATTGTTGGTAAGTGTCTCTTACCCGGTAACATTTACCGGGTAAGTCTTCTCCCTCACTTAATAGGAAAGATTCTCGGTCCTTGCTATGACTCTTAGAGGGTAAGATTCTTGGTTCTAGCTATGCTCACCTTGTAAGGTATGAGACACTGGTAAGTGCTTACTCGATAAGCTTTTACCCGGTAAACATTTCGTACATGAATTCTTAGTCTAACCTAGTTATTGGAGGCCTAACTCTCAATACACTAACCCTATGCTTGCGCCTTATATTTCTCTCCATATCCTTTCCTCCGGTCTATACTAGCTACATCCTCGCCCCTAGTCTACTACCCTAGTTTTTGCATCTCCAAGAACTTTTAGATGTCGTGTCCTCGGATATGCTTAAACATGCCATCTCCAACCTAAATTTCTCATCCATGTCCTTCTCGGCCTAGCCCTCCTCCTCATCCCCTGGAAAATCACATTTTCTACCCTCCTCAACGGAGTTGACATCTGTTTCTTACAAATGTGAGTAAAATCTTTAGTAGGGAGATCCACATATCATATTAATCAACAAAAATTTAAAACATCGGTGGTTTTTATAATTTGAAGATGTTAGCATCATAAAGAGCAATAGGTTTTGAATTTGTCCCCTTTTTATCCTTCTAAAGAGTCAATTAACATAACTTGTGAGACAAGGAATAAAAGTGATTACATTTGTTACCCTTCCAATCTTGTGCTTTCATATAATACAAAGCAATAACGTCTCCTTTAGACAAAATCATGAAGTTCTATCAGTTCCAAATATTAATATGAGAGAAATAAGCAAAGAGTAATGAACAAACCAATGTTTAGGTAATACATAAAATGTATTTAAAAAAAAATAAGACAACACAACAACCACTCAAAATTTTACCAAAACTATATAAGGTAACATTACCAGTATCCCAGATGGCAAGCTTCAACTTCTTCCCACCAATCGTGACATATTTTACCTTAAAATCCACCCCTGTAATAATGGGAAATAATGATTCAACAAAACAACATTTTCTGCCAAAATTCCAACTGTTGTTAAGAATCACGTAACTATTGTAAGCAACTAATCTTGAATTGGGCTAAGAGCAAAAGTATAGGAAACAACTAATTATGATGCTGACAAGTAAATAGAATAGCACAAATTATCATCTGCAATCAATGATATTTTTTTCATTGTATTTCCTGTTTGCTACTGATATAACAATAAAAAGTAGTAAGTCTTGGTTTTGAAATCCAGTTAGTCAATAGAACATAGTTTTATGCTTAGGATAACAAGTACCACAGTACAGACATGTTGTGAATAGATAAACAATTGTACATCATTAAATTGCACATAACATAGTACTGTTTGGTTTTTTAGATCAGTTGTTGTGCAGTGAAAAAGCTACCCAAATACAAATTGAAACACAAGCTTTTGAACACAAAAAAACAATTTTCTTAAGCTAATAAATAACAATTTTCAAGTAAATATAACATTAGGATATCAAGATAAGAAACTGCAGTCACAATTGATCCCGCATATTTTGTGCACTTCTATGTACAATAGCACTTATATCTCTCATTGTGTATGGATGGTCCTAAGGGAAACCTTTGGTTGTATGAACACATGATTGTATGCCAATAAGGAAAAATAAGACAATGACCCACCTCCTTAACATATTTAAAACAACTCTCAACTTATTTGTCACAATTTTTTTTGTCATTAAACAAATGTCAAATGTATATACATACATACTGAATATCTATATACATACAGGCAAAGGATCATGTCGGAAGGGAAATTATGGTAAAAAGTGTAAGAAGATCTGAACCCTTGATCACTTTTAGTCTCATGCCCACCCATGAATTGTACTTTAAAAGGGAACTGATCCGGTATATCTCGGTGCACCTCATTAGTGTTGACATTCAATTAAAATTGATCCAAGGGTGGAGATCTTTTCTTACGCTTCTCACCATAAGTTCCCTACTCATTGGAACTCAAACCTATACATACCTATATATAGATATATATTCACAAAGGTTAATATTCTCTGCTTTAACATAGGAACTATTTTGAGCATTCAAGATGTGGAAGAAGACTCTGAATATCTATAGCATTATGCATGTAGTGTTTGAACTTTGAAGTATAAGTATTAAGATTTATCATTCATGGAGTTCATATAGCACTTCATATTGTATGACCACCAACACATGCATGCTTGCAAAACAAAGAATCTTTATAATTTGTCATATATACATTAAAATAACGCGAGCCAAAATGGTACCCCTCACGTTTACTAAACTCACTTCCTAAGTAATAAAACGTTTGCAACTCATTACAACATTGCATACCAATTATTGGTTTGCATGCTAAAGCACACTAACAATTAGGTAAATTTACCTTCACTAATAAAACATTATCACTTTTCCATGCAACACAATATTCAATATTGAGCAATCACATGCATTTTTTCTGGTTGCCTTACTCTAGAAAGGGAACCTTTTAGCAAAAATAGAATAGTCACACAATCACTAATGCAGAGAACTTGAATTTTTTCATGAGAGACAATAATGGAACCGAAGGGAAATGTTTTGGCTGGGAAAATTAGGAGAGGAAGAAAAATAAAGACTACATAAATTAGTCCATGCGAAGAAAAAAACATGCGTCCTGATGGATGAATGGACTTTTGGGTTCTACTCCAGGCACCATTCACTTGTCATAGGGACCCACGATTTACCTATCTATGATGGCCATAGGAGTAGGACCGGTATAATGGGGGCCATAGAGAATAACAAATAACTTTTTACCGGAGACAAAATAAGTACTTTCAACCCCAAATTTACCATTCACAAGAAAATAACATAACTTACTCATGAATGTTATAACTATGAAATTGGAAGATTTTTCCCCTGTTTCTCCTGCTTAAGAACACTAAAAATAATGAAACCACACCACTTTCTTTTCCTTTCTCTTCGATTCATGCCACATAATGAAACTAACTACAAATTTTTTTAGTTCTCTTCTCCCATTACTTACAATTTCTTTATCATTCTCTCTTTAAACTCTAAGAAGAGAGCATAATGGTTCATAAAACTGAAGAATGTAAATTTTACAAAATAGTTTTTCTTTTTTTCTTCTCTAATCACATGATGTTATATACAGAGAAACATCTCCGTACAAAATCAACATTTGCAAGCAACAAGACTAATTAATAAATTATATTCCTTTTGGAAATTAAAACGACACAAATACGATCAAATGGCTTACCAATGGTAGGAGAAAGATCTTCGAAGTTATCGGAAGTGAATCTCAAGAGAAGAGAACTTTTACCAACTCCTGAATCCCCAATCAACAATAGCTTGAACAAATAATCAAATTCCGCACTCGAAGACGAATCCATCAATAAATTAGAATCACTCTCGAATCTAGAAAAACAATCGATGTCACAATCTTCCAGAACCCCAAATTAAACGCATGAAAAGCATTAATGGATAGCAGAATCAATTGGGGGATGAAAAAAAATACCTGTACGACTGATCTCTTTGTGCAAATTTAAATCTGAAACAAATTTCTTGATCTAGATAGAAGAACAACTCTAGTTGTTACCCAAATTATTAATTTAATACTTTGGTTGTTAAACGTAAACTCGACCCATTTTGTAATGATCAAAATCAAAAATTCAACGGAGGAAGATTGTAGAAATGAGAATAAATCTCTCCATTGATTCACGAAATTTTACGTTCTTCATGAATCAAGTCCGTGGGTGGCCATTTTGTGTTATTCTGTTTAGTGTTATCAAATTGCAACAAATAGAAACCGGTTTTTAATTTATTTTAAATATCAAAATTTAGAGTTAATTACATTGGTGGTCCTTGTGTTTTACTCATAATTTATGATCCCCCAAATACTTAATTTGAACGCCTCTCATATTTAATAATAGTTATTATATATACTATTTTATTTTTATGTCTCAGAAAAAAGGGATAAAAAAGATTATATTGACCTACGTACCCCTTATAAGCAATCAAATATCTTAACTCGAGGGACCACCAATGAAAAAATCAGGAACCACTAGTGTAGATAGTATATTTGAGGGACATGCCCAAATTTGAAATAGTCCACATGGATAAAGATTATAGTTCACCCAAAAAAATATTAATAACATCATGTTAAGAGTGAATTCCATGGTTTACCAAAAATCTGCAAATCGATCGTATGCTTCATTAAATACATAAAATTGATCATTATATTTTGCATTTTACTTCAAAACGGGTCCTTTGCCTTGATACTACTAATTGAGAGACCATTACATGAGGACATATCCAATTTTTATCCATTTTACAAAGATTCTTATAGAAAAATTATATTATTTACATATTATAATTATATTTTAAACTTAAAAAAAACTCTCTTTCTCCTCCCCTTTCCCGTGATGTCCCCCATTAATCCGACAATCTCCCCGACCAATCTCCAGCTATTTCAGACCCATCTCTGGTCATCATTTCCAACCTCGCCTCCATCAAATGTATGAAAATGAATTACCTAGCCATCACACATAAATCTCTTACGTGCCCAACATGGGATAATCTTCACCAACTATGGTGGTTTCCCAACTTCCATGGAATGAACAAGAAAGTTATTTGCATTGGTAGATAAAGGTGCAATAGTAGGATGAGAATTAATTGGTTTCTAGACACAATTTAAAAACGGGTAGTAAAGGTAGGAGATGTATGAGTGATGTATAGATGACTTGTGTGTTAGGTGCAAATACTAGGAATTATGGACTTGTTTATGTTTATTGTTTTCCAAATGTAGGTATTGCATGTTCTACCATTTCTCATAGTTTATGTTTATTGTTCCCCTTTATCAAATCTTACAAGAAGGTCGTTCTCACTTACTTATTGTTAATCAAAATGAGTTAATCATTCCTTTGATGAATTTTCTACAGGTGCTCAAATAAAAGCCATGACCATTGATATTGAGTATTCTGCTAGTCTTAAAAGCTATCTTAATTCAAGAAGAAAGAACTCAAACCTCAAAACATTTTTCTTGTGTCAACACTCAATAGTGGTCAAGTGTCTTTTTGCTAGGATAGGGGGTTTTGATCAAACAAATTGTGCAACATGGTAGATTTTATATGGTCTCGTAAAGAAGAAAGATTTGGATTATGCAAAACTCATGTGGATTGCCAAAGATGAGAAGACAACCATTTCTACTATAGATTTGTGTTCTTAAATTTCAAATTTGAACTTGGTCAGTTTAAAAGACAACATCAAATAATACCAAATTATTATATGAGTCCTTTTAGATTATTTGTTCTAGGTTTGTGTCCTTTAAATTCACTTGAGGTAAGATGGCTATCATCCCTTATAATTCTACTAAATTATTTGCTTCTAAACCCATAAAGAATTAAGAACTGAATGCTCATGCCAGTTAGGATCACTTCTACATGCTTCTGAACTATCTTATGGAGTATGCTTATAAGCCACCAATAGTGAACTAGTTTTATAGAGCCCTGATTCTGGCTACCATGGCAACCAAAAACCAAGGAGAAAGGAACGATGCATTAGAATACACGGTCTAGGAGCGGGTAACAAATTGGGATGCATATGAATCTACAATCGCTGGATGCTAATGTGAAATCAACGTAGAAGACCATCCAGAAGATATGAAAACAAGACGCGAGAAACGCCAAACAAGTAGGTGGCATGGAACGTCTTCTTGCAATAATGCTCAAATTAGACTCAATTGGGCCTCAGAGTTGGCCTGAGAGAATGAAGATGCAACATGATCCAAAATCATCATCAAAGTCAACACAAGTGGTTGGCATAGGGAAGGCGACCATGGATTTTGAAAGCCCAAATATTGTAACACCATTGAATTGGAGAATTCGAGGAACTTCGATCCAATAGTACCACCGTCTAGAGAACTAGGAGGATCGAAATCCACTAGTAGTGGAGATTCACATCAGATTGGAGATTGAAGAGGGTTTAATTACCCCTCTTCAATGGTGATGATCATGTCGGTTGAATATTCCAAGAGGGTTTCATTACCCCTGTACTTTGCCTTACAAAAGTTCGAAGAAAAGATAAGGTTGCGACTACTGGAATTTGTATGGAAGGAGAAGCATTACGTGGTTCCAATTCACCGATAGTTGTTGAATAGTGGTACAATGGGAAGAAGTCAAGTCATTGTTGATTAACTGATTCCGATCGACAATCAGAGGATCGACATGTGAACAGTTAATGGCCCTGAAAATAAGAAGGAACTATTCATAAATACCGTCATTTATTCGAAATTGTTACAGCATCAATGCCTTATATGCTGAAAAGGTGTTAGACGAAAACTTTGTGAATGAATTGAAACCTCGAGTGCAAGCAGAAGTATGATTATTGAGACTGCGAGGGTTGATGAGGGTGATGGTTGACTGAATTGGTAGAGGATCAAAATCTTCAGTTGAGTAACGAATCCAAGGCTAATCTCAGGAGGTACAAGCCAACCTTAGGAGAAGTGGGGAATCTGTCCAAATCCATCACTCTTAATAACGATAACATCGCTATTAATAAGATGACCTCGACCACAACGACTTATATGGCTAAAACTACTCATAATACGACTTATAGATTGATTGAGATGGAAGTACGGGAAAAAAGAGCTAAAGGGATCTGTTTTAAGAGTGATGAAAATTAACGAGCGGGGGGCATAAATGTAAGAATAAGGAACTTATGTTATTACTGGTCTAAGATGAACCAACTGACGGGGAATTATAGGAGCTAGAAAGGATCGATGATGAATATCATAAGATAAGGGAAAGAGTCGGCGATGAAATTGTCGCTAAACTCGATCATTGGATTATCATCTCCCCGTACCATGAAGGTTAAGTGTAACACCTTAGTTTTATATTTGTTAAATTACAATATTTTAAGCCTTAAATACAAATATTATGAGCAATTTAAATACTCTAAAAAGATTTTAGCAGCTGTAGCATCTATTAAATTATCATATTTTCAAGGCAAGTAGTTGACAAAGTAGTCTACAAGTAGCTTACATGGCAAAACATGAGAAATCAAACCTAAAGTGATGAGTTAAGGGCTAGAAGTATATGTCGGTAAGCTATTTGATGACTAAGAAAGTCAACTAAGCATGACAAGCAAGCTAGTTATGAGTTGTCAATGCTTGAAGCATGTGTTGGCAAAATTCATGATGACAAACAAGAGCTAGAAGCGTGACAAATAAAAGCTAGAAGCATGATATGTCAAGATTCCTTTATATTAAGCATGAGGTGTCAAGATTTTCTTACCCTACAAAATGAGGTGTTAAACTCTCCTAAAAGTACAGTTTTGCGTAAGAAGAACAAGTAGTTTATGCAATGAATTTATCTATAAATAAGGGTTGAAGTGTTACTATTAGCTCCAAATAAGAAATCTCTCTCTTTATACATAATCAAGCTTGAAGAAAGGAACTAAGATAAAAGCTAGGCATAATCAAGATCAGTAGTTGTGAGATTTATAAGGTACATACATGCTACATAAAAGTATTTTACGCATTTCAAGATATTTTGGTATGTTCGCTTTACATGAAAATGTCATACAAGATATGCATGATGACATGTTTTGATACAAGTATGTGTTTTACACCAAGGCATGACAGTGTCTACATGTTATGATATAAGTATGTTTTCAGCATCATGAAAACCGTTTATTCATGAAACCATAACTACTTACTAAGTTTTTAGCTTAAGTATCTCATGTATATACTCAGGGAAGAAGTAAAGAAGAATAACATGAAAAAGTATCTCATGTATGTAAAACCTTTCATGCCTTATGTAACAAACACTTGTATCATAACATGTAAGCACTTTCATGCCTTGGTGTAAAAATACATACTTGTATTAAAACGTGTCATCATGCATCTCTTGTAGAGGTGACAATTTGCAGGCCTAGGCTGGGCCTAACTTGTTTTTTTGTCCAACAAGCTTAATATTGTAAATCCAAGCCCTTTTTTGAGGGCTTGACAACTTGCAATTGCCCACCTTATAAATGGGTCGGGCTTTCCCATAGGTAACGGGCCTAAACGATGTAACTCTTATAAATATATAAACTTGCTCACTAGCAATTGATTAACAAATGTGGAACCAAAAAGTAAAGGAAAAAAACCGTTGCAAGTAAAATTTTAAGCAACTAAAGTGACACATGGATCTTAACAAATGGAGAAAGAAATGAAAAACAAAGGTCAGACTTCCATAAAATCAATAATGCATTCCTATTTTTTATGTATATATAACATTAATATTCACATTTCCATGACTCCATCATGCTATTGCCAATTTCAAACATACCAAGTTTTGATCAAGAACCTCATAATTTAATCAGTAGTTATTTTAGAAAAAATTACAAAAAA